GTTGTTATGATCATGGACGGATCTTGAAAATTTGAAAATCTAAATATATACTTTCGCACCCTGTGGATTAGTCCTTGGTGATGATTACAAAACATAAAAATGATGATTTTTTCTATTTCAATCAATAACATTTGGTGGGTTTGGCAACTAACAAAAAAAACCTCTTTTTCTTTTTCTTTTGAATATTATATTTTTTAAATTTGTGTCAAAGATTTTACATTTTTTGTGCATCTAGTGTAGAATGATCTCAAAACATCACCAACTTATTTTCACTTTTATTTTTAATAAATTGTTTTTCATTTTTTTATAACTTATTTGGTCCATGTAGTCGAGTAGACTCTAAAACGCAAAGTTTTTTGAAATTTTTTGAAAAAAGTACATTAAAAATAAACCCCAGTTCCACTAAATTTTCTAATTAGAAAAGAGATGGTGTAGAGTTTAAACACTGGTTGTAGTAGAATCATAACTCAATCCCATATCGTTCATAATCTCATTAGAAAAGAGATAGTGTAAAATTTCAACATTGGTAGTAGCAAAATCGTAAACCCCTCGCACATTGTTTAAAAACATCCCATAATGTTTGAATATAAGGCGTGATTGAGACATCTAATAAATGCCGAGCTGAGTAGCGTTAGCTGGTCACTTAAGCGAGTGCACCAAGGTGGTTGGATGATGGTAAAGTCGAATGGTGGGTTCGACGCTTGAACTCTGGGTAGACCAGTGAACATGTTCATTCTGGCTAGCCCAAGGTTTTTTTTTTACATGTGTACAATAAAAAATTAATATTGTGATGACCAAGGATGGATTTTTTTCATGTATAAAATAAATAAATTAATATCGTTATGATCAAGGATGGATCCCCGAAATTTGGAAATCTAAATATACTATCGCACCCTTTGGATCTATCCTTGGTGATGATGTTCAACATAAAAATAATGGTTTTTTCTCTTTAAAAATAAAATTTGGTGGCATTTGCCAAGCCAACTAAAAACTCTATCTTTTTTTTTTTTTCGATATAATTATTTTTTTTTAATTTGCCACTATATTCTTACATTTTTTGTGTATCTAGTGTAGAATGATCTAAAAACATCACCAACTTATTTTCACTTTTTTTTAGTCAATTATTTTCCACTTTAATTTTATAACTTATTTGGTCTATACAATCAAGTAGATGCTAAAATGCAAAGTTTTTAAAAAAAAATTTGAAAAACCTCTAGTACAAATGAAACAAAAAAAAAAATCCAAATACTTACCCTAGTTCCACTAAATTTTCTTTACGAAAAATTACAACTCAATAGTGTTTTGAAAAAATAATTACAAATTTTTAAATTTACCACTCTAATGTGGTTTTTTTTTTTTCTACACTTGCATTACTACCTACCTTTAAAATAATTCAAAATATATTCCAAGCAAAATAAACATTTAAAAGCTTCGACCAGAGAGGATTTGGTGATGGTGGCGGTTGATGGGGTTTACGGGAGAGAAGGAAACATAATCTCATTAGAAAATAGATAGTGTAAAATTTAAATATTGGTAGTAGTATAATCGTAAACTTATTAACAACCTAAAATAAAAAATAAAAAATAAAGAAAAAGAAAAACCTATTCATTTTCTTTTCATTTTTCTAACCCAACCATACAAAAGAAAAAAATTTAGCACCTTCCACTTCATTTTTTTTCCTTCAATGTTCCGTTCCCTCCACAAATTCAAGATTCAAACATATTGAAAAAATACAAATAAAAATAAAAAAGGAATTCGTAAAAGGCCACTTTGCAGCTTGGTAATCAAGTTTTTGTTGAGTTTTAAGTCTTATTTGAAGTTTGGCTATCCGCTTTCCAATAAATTTTTTTGAAGTTTGGATATCAGCTTCCCAATAAAACTAATTAATTTGGATGGCAACCCCGCAAGTTCCGATTGATTAGCCACGTCTACTCCATTATCACAATGCATTCTAAGACTGAAATGACCTGAAGGAAATTTATTAATAAGAACAAAATGTGCAGCCATAATGGTTATAAAATACCATGTCACTTATCAGCAATCTCGGCAAAGAATGCCCGAGGTGAAGATGGGGTTAAACAAGACCTCAAGATAGTTCTAATTTTTTTTTTTTGAATGTTATTATTTTTTTTTAATTTGCCTCTAAAATTTTACATTTTTTGTGTATCTAGTGTAGAATGATCTAAAAACATCACCACTTATTTTCAGTTTTTTTTAGTCAATTATTTTCCATTTTAATTTTATAATTTATTTGGTCTATACAATCGAGTAGATGCTAAAATGCAAAGTTTTTTAAATTTTTTTTTGAAAATCCTCTAGAACAAATGAAACAAAAAAAAAATTCCAAATACTTACCCCAGTTCCACTAAATTTTCTTTTCGAAAAATTACAACTCAATAGTATTTTGAAAAAATAATTACAAATTTTTAAATTTACCACTCTAATGTTGTTTTTTTTTTCTACACTTGCATTACTACCTACCTTTAAAACAATTCAAAATATATTCCAAGCAAAATAAACATTTAAAAGCTTCGAGCAGAGAGGATTTGGTGATGGTGGCGGTTGATGGTGTTTACGAGAGAGAAGGAAACATAATCTCATTAGAAAAAAGATAGTGTAAAGTTTAACTATTGGTGGTCAACCATTTATGAACGCATCATGACTAGTTTTCTCATCATGGAAATGAAAGGAAAAGAAGTACCCTCCCATTGTCTTCAAATTCCTAATCTTTATATTCAGAAGCAATACAATTACATACTCACATTTTAAAGAAATGCCAAACTTATAATAGCAATCATAAGAAAACCCTTTACATGCAGATCCAGAACTAACTGACACCAAATTTCCATAAAACAGAACAATGTGCATGATTTAACAATATTATCATTTCCATTCCATATATTAGCATGATTTAACATTTTTTTTGTCTTATCTATAGCAACAAACTATGACCTTGTTCTATTTCTTCTGTGTACAACTACAAGTTACTGTTAAAGAATCAGAAGAACCCAAACTAAAACCTTCCAATAAGTTAACATGAACAACATATAAATGATGTGGTTTAATTTAATACAAGAAATGCTTGATATGCATACAACTGGGGGGAAAGATGAAACTGACCAAGTTCCTGAAAACCGCATGTGTGCATGTCTTGGAGATTTCGTCTGGTATACGGCGTCCCTATGATATACACCAATATCCTGCAAGGTCACTGCCCAGCAAGAACGTCCCTCCCAAGTCCCGCCTTGCCTCGGCTCCACCAACGCAACACCCAAAAGTGCTTCGTCGTCTCCAACAGATCCAATAATCTACGTATTCTATACAATACAAGTTCCAAATCTATACAACATATCCCAACTTAACAAATGAAAGACATACATAGATTATCACAAAAATTAGGAAAAGTGAGTCCTTCTCAAGAGGACTTTTTACCGTAAACATTTTACTACCGAAAGCTCCTTACAACAAAAAAGGCAGAAAAAACAAAATTTTAAGAAAATTATAATAATACAGATGGATGCCAATTTCCAGCCTCACAAGCAAGATAGATGTGGGAGAGCAGCTAAGTCCACCCGGCTTCATAAGATTTGAGGATTCTCAATACTTCAGATCAATGAGCAAGAAGAGGCATTTAACTTCAACCAGAGAAACCCATCTCACAATAGCATTTCAAGTATACAATCTGGACACTCCAGTCCAAGTAGACAACAAGTTGCTCAACAAATATGTGTACCATTCGAATTTGTGAAGACTAGTCCCTGCAAGCCAGAGACGAAAGATATTAGCATTCACAGTGATAACAGAACTGACAAGCAATAGCGGCAACACGTACCACAAAGTACATGAATACAAAAATATTTGTGTGCAAATGTACATGGAGAGAGAGAGGGGGGGGCTGCAGGCTCCTCCATGGTCAAAATCTTCCATTAAGCAATGGGAAAAATGAAGTCAAACACAAGTGGAGTTCGGCATGACACACATATTTACCTTTCCACAAGTTAAAAAGTGATGATGTAGACGAGCATCATGCGAGTGCAAGAAGAAATTGCAAATTTCAAAAGTACATTTCAGTTTCCATTCCAACATCTGAAAATAAATAGGTGATGTAATACTCATTGTATTTAGTTTTGGAATAAAAGAATATACATTGAGTTTGGAGTAGAGCTTAGTTTCTCTCTCTAGACCTTAGGGGTTTTACCCCTAA